GGGGGGGGGGGGGGGGGGGGGGGGGGGGGGGGGGGGGGGGGGGGGGGGGGGGGGGGGGGGGGGGATGGAGATGGACGAGGCGGATGTCGACAGTTCCCGGCAGTGAGTTTGTTGCTTATAAACCTCTGTTTGAAAATGTAGGTGCCGTTCTAGCTCGTACGATTTGTCGACCAGGCGCGCCTCCGGAGCGGGCTCATCACAGCATACTGTAGCAGTAGTGATAACAAGGCGTGACGCGAGATGAAAGTACAGCATGTGTTTGTGCGGGTCAGCTGCCATCGCGTTTTGCGGATAGATGCGTAGAATGTTTTTGGGGGGTCGCCACTTGCACAGCAGTAAAGTGTCCATTGATAGTGCTTCCATATGCCCAGAAGGTTCACCGGCACTGTCCCAACCTGCACTAAACAGAGACCTCTACTCTATCTGGTCGTCTTTCGGTGTTTGATGATCATCGTCCCGCCGCGTCCGCATTTGTAGGCACTGGGCGCCAGAGGACGACGACCAGGAGGGTGAGGGTTCTTCGGTAGAACGGAAGCGGAAGCGGAACGGGGAGAGCTCGACGGCGACGTCCCCCGTTGACCCTGAGAAGGAGAAGGAGGAGGCCAGAAACGGGCAGTGGGCGGGGGGAGCGGGCTTGGCGGGTACGCCGAGCCAGGCGAAGAAGGTATTTGTTATTTCCATTGAGCTGTTTTTTTTCGGGGGGGGGACACAAGGAATTCATCTCCGACCTTTGTGTCATGAGATCTTTCATTTCTTGTTGGAGTACAACAAATTCATCTCGTACAACCTTCGTAACATACTTCGAAGAACCTCCTTCTTTGTTTCTTATTATTGCAACACATGGAATTCGTCATCTTTCAACCTAACATACAGCAAGAGACAAAGATATGGCACCTCCATCTAGAGCGACTTCCATAGCTCGATTGCTCCATGACCAAGATTGTCTGTACCGTACCGTATACCGTACCGTGGTATTCCGAAAGAGTCGGAGAGATGGCACCCCCTCTAGAGCGATTTTCAAAGCTCGATTGCTCCACAACCAAGCTTGTCTGTACCGTACCGTATACCGTACCGTGGTGTTCCGTAAGAGGCAGAGAGATGGTACCCCCTCTAGCGCGATTTTTTTTTTTAGCCATCTCTCCGACTCTTTCGGAATACCACGGTACGGTATACGGTACGGTACAAACAAGCTTGGTCATGGAGCAATCGAGCTTTGAAAGTTGATCTAGGGGGGGTTGCCATCTCTCCGCCTCTTACGGTACCTTTTTTTGTTTTTGTTGTAACGCAACCGAAATCATTTCTAACAACAAAGCCATCTCTCACCACAGACAAGGAGTCCGGAGTCAATGTATCCGTGGCGTTAGCAGAAACACTGCCTGTGTTTACCCGGTTCCCTCTTGTTTTCAGGCCCGTTTTTGTACAGCAGCTATCTAGTGAAGGGGCCCGCTTTAGTGCGGCTTGAATAACGCGGCTGCCCGAAATAGTGCGGGTGGAAATTGGCTGGCACAGATGGAGTTATCAAGACGGGTGCCCGCTGAATAATGTGCGGGTGAAAGCGCTTCGCACATGCCTGCACTATATAATGGGACCCTCACCGTACATGTATCTCCGAGGGACAGCAGTATGAGGAATGTTTATGTCTTGCCATTGAAATGTCCGGGTGGCGAACCTTGTGTTTGTGTTTTTACCCCGTGTTTTGTGTCTGGTGATCCTCGATTACGGTAGCAGCCTTTCTCTCTCTCGTTGTTCAGATCGTATCACGCGTGGCCCGCGATGTTAGCAGCAAAAAAAATGCATTATGCTGCCCTTGGTCCCCGACTTGTTTCATCGGTCGTAGCTCATGCGTTCGTGAGAAAGCAACCAACATCGGGAATGGCGAGTAATGTCGACG